GCCAGGGTGCAGACCCGAGCAGCCTGCCCGCAGATCCCGGCTCGCCACTGTGGCCCTAAGGAGGTTTAGGATCGTGCAGTGCGTGGTTGCCCCTTACTGCTTCTGAGACACATCCCATAATCTCTTCATGCCAGGAGCCTGTGCTGTTTCCCTGGTTACAGAGACCTGTCTCCAGGAGAAAGGATGGGGGTGAGATGAGGGAGGGTGTATGAGAGAGATTACTCTCGGCGTTTGGTAATTCCAAGCACCAGGGACGCCTGGCTCGCTGGCGGCCTGCCGCTCCGGGCTGTTTCCGTGGCTTTGCGTGCTCCGCCCAGCTCCACCGAGCTGTGGGCACAGGAAGCCTGCCTACTCACTCACGGTCTCTCCCCTGTTCGCCACTGTTACCACGTGCACAAAGGGACAGGAACTGTTTGCACACTTGAGTGGGTTGAGAGGAGGGGCTCAGGGGAAAGGGGTGACACAGGAGAGCTGCCTGGGGGACTTGGAAGGTAAACTCTACCCAGCCACAGCTGCCCTGCTTGTCAGCCCTGCTGGGCTGCAAGAGGTGACTGTACTCTGCGAGGAACACCTGAATTGTTTTTGACACAAAGAAGGACTCAGCTCGCTGGCTGGAGACCGAGACCTAATGAGCTCTGTTTCCATAGACAAGCAAGCCGAAAATCTGGCCGTGTCGTGAGCAGTATGTTGTCTTTTCCTAACGCTCCTGCACGCTTGCCCATTCTCTTGCGGTGGGCACACCAGTAAGCTGAGCTGTGAAAGGGGAAGGGGGCTCGTTGGTCAGTCAGTTATTGTGAGTCAGGCACTGCGTTAGGCTCTGGGACCCTGGGAGGTAAGAGATGAGCAGTTATTTTCTCCATTTATGGATGGGGAACCTGTGACCAGGAGAGGTTGCATGATGCAAAAAGGGGTGGGCAGGTTTTGAAGCTGGTCCTGTCTGGCTCCAGGTCACTTATATCAATAGTTGATGGGCTCTCTGTTGTATCAGCAGGGTCCAGAGTTACTTAGGTAGATACCTGTGATTTCTTTTAATATTAATAGTTCCTCAGTCCAAAATATTGTAATGGGTTTGTAAATGTTTTTGCAGGGATCTTGGACCAGAATTAAAGGCAACGTATCAGCCAGGGTTCTCTGGAGAAATGGAACTATTAATAATAGGAGGATATATAGAGTATATCTATACATCCTAGAGATGCTAATATATCTATAGATGTACAGATAGATATACACATATCAGCACATAGTGAGAGGGATTTTAAGGAGTTGTTTCACTCAGTTGTGGGGTTGGCAAGTCTGAAATTTGTAGGGCAGGCTGGAAACTCAGGCAGATTTCTAGGTTTCCGTCCTGGGGAAGAATTCTTTCTTTTCTGGGAAAGCTCAGTTTTTGTTGTTAAGGTCTTCGACTGATTATGTGAGGTCCACCCATGTTATCAAGGGTCATCTGCTTTTCTTAAAGTGTACTAATTGTAGATGGCTGTTACATCTACAGAATACCTTCACAGCAACATCTGGACTAGTGTGTGACCGGGCACCTGGGCACCATGGCCTGGCCCATTGACACGTAAAATCAACCATCCGGGCACCATGTACTCGGTGCTTAATGCGTGCTAGGCATTCCACCAGGCACGTGCACAAGCTCTGTGCTTTTCCTCATCAACATACTTTACCGGTGCCTGAACTCTGACACTCAGAATGATTAAAGCGACTTGCCCAAGAGGACAGCTCTGGTAGGGTCAGAGCTAGAAGCCAGGTTTGTCTGATTGCTACTACCCCAGACCGCCTTCCCAAAGCTTCAGTGTTAATAGTCTAGATCTGGCAATCTAAGAGAGATGAATGAAGTGACCCAGAGTCACTCAGCTCGTCAGGGCAACACTCCGTCCCCTGCAGGACTCACTTTCCGGGTAGATGATGGCTGCAGATTGTTCACCCCCCGGTCAGCAAACCCCAGCCGAGGTAAGATGCTCTAAGAGAACACAGCACAGAAAGGCCCAGGCTGCCATCACCTCCTCCATCAACAGATGTGCCCAGAGTCCGTACCCCGAAGCCACTTTATTGCTGAAACAGCTCCATAATGAGAGCCTTTCAGGTCGTCAGTATTGAAACCTCCTTGGACTGAGTCTGAAGTGGACCTGTCTGGTGACAAATTCATCTTTGTGTCAGTTTGTGTTTTAGTGAGATTAAAGGAGTTTGCAGAAAGCACCCCAAAGACAGACGCTGTCTGTGCAGGGGAAAACAAGGCACGTTGCTGAATGTTTACTCCAGGTCTTGCGTTATGTCAGGGTGGTTTAGTTGCAAGCAACAGAAACCAATGCTAAGTAGGTTAATTAAAAAGAATCAAAGGAAAACAAGTAACAGTTGGGTGGTATACCTTATGGACTCAAAGTAGGACTAGAAAAACCAATGCATAAGACTAACAAACCAGGGTAGCTCCAGAACCCTCCCCAGCAGTAGTTCAGAAGCCTCTAGAGCACTGTCCGTCATCACGGCAGATCAGCTCTGTGGTTTACCAATCTCTGTGTTTCTGTTTATATTTCCAAGAGTTAGAAACTGACTTGTTCAGCTTGGGTCAAGTGTCTACTCCTAAACACCCTGCCCTGGCCAGAGATTCAGATAGAGCAGGAGAAGCTGCGGAAGCTGCTTCTATGTATAGGGGCCATAGAAGGGGGAATTAGTTTTTAGCAGAATTTACTCTCCAAGAAGTGGTGACTGTAATAACTGTGAATATAATAGTAACTTGAGACATCCACACTTGTAGATCTCTATATCTATCCTGTATATATGCGTGTGCAAATATAGACTCTACCTGTTCCCTCCTCTCTACCTGTTCCCTTCACATTTTGGCCCTCCCGGCCTGCAACTCTGTTTCTATAGCATTCGTATCCTAAACTAATCAACTGCAAATGCAGTCTTGGGCTCCAATTTAGTGAAACTTGTCTTTAGGCTTTTATCATCCTTCAACATTTACAACAAGAGTGTAGGTACCATGTGGGCAGAGACTTGGGCTGTTTTGTTTACCCTGTATCTTCAAGTGCCTGGCACATCATAGGTGGTCAGTGATCGCTGAATGAGAAGCAACCACACACCAATATAGGGACACCTTCCCCCATTCCCCAGGGGGCCCAGGGGCTTTGCCATCTTGGTCCAGGGATACCATATGTACCCATATGTCCTGTCGCCAACACCCAGAATCACTAGGTAAGGTACACACACCTTTCCTGGGGGCAAGGTGATTAGCCTCAGCTCTGCCTGTATCTAATAAAGGATCAGTATCAAACAGAACGCCAGCTGACATTGATGCCTGGCCATGGAGGAGGGAATCTTGGGTGTTTGAAAGCTGACATCATCGTCAAACAGACAAAGCGGGAGAGGAATCCAGGCCAGGACAGGCAGACTTAAAACTCTGGCCCCCTAGGCCAGCTGAGTATGGCTCGCCACATTCTATCTTGCTGTCATCCTTAGCGAACCTCCTCTGAAATAGTGACATGAGAACTGTATGTTAATATCATTTGGTATATAGTTAACATAAGCATAATGATAAAAAAAAAGAAGTACAAATGATATTCACAAGGTTCCAGAATGAACTTCTGGTCCATCTCTCGACCACCCACTCTCCACTGGGAGCTGGTGAAACCCTTTAACCAAGGGTGGTTTCGGAAAACTGTCCTTACTCTGAGCTGGCCCAGGTTCCCCTCCCCATTCAGGGATACCAAGCCCTGCCGACGTCCTTCTCGGCCTGCTGCCCTGTTCTAGTCCCACAGTGGCCTGGACTCACAGATTCCCTCCTTCGTAGCAGGGCTACTCGTTGCACACTGGCCCTAGTCCCTGCTCGTGCACGGGTTCAAAGTGTCATTGCATGAAGTGACTTCAGTAATGTGGCAGTGTAGCAGTGGGCAGTGTGTTGCCACTGGGGGCTGCTGCTTCCTGCATTTGTCAGAATGTCTCCCAGTGCCTGCCAGCACCCCAAGGACGCTGCTTTCTCTGTTGCGGAGGCAGAAGCAGACAGCCCACAATGGTACTGAGACCCAGAGGTCTGCAGTCTGAGCAGGAGGCCAGACAGGAGTACCAGAGGCCTGGCCAAAAAAGACGATAGAAGACCAGGCCAGGAGTGATGACAGTGCTGCAGGGTGACAGTGACCCCTCGTCACAGCAGGCCTGCCACGGGCCAGGCATGCCAAGCGGTGTTATATTACCTCATTCGGTCCTTACAGCAACTCCAGGAGGCAGATGTTATAGCCATCTTTTTAGGGAGGAGGAACCCGAGGTGGTGAGAAGCTAAGCTGCTTGCCCAGGATGGCAGGCCTCATAAGGTGACATCGCCAGGGTTCAAATCCACTCTGTTCAGTAAGAGCCTCATGCTATATGTTCCTCCCTGAGCCTTTCTTTCTTTCCAAGTGACTGTCACAGAGCTGAGAAATGGCAGACAAATCCAGAAGGGCAGGGGCTGGGTGTCAGAGGAGGAGAGCGGAAGGCCGGGCGCAAAGACGTCGGTCAGCGGGACGATGGGGAACCTTCCACCAAGGCGGGACCAGAGCTCTGTCCTGTCCATGCTGGCAGCACAGGGGTCTCTGGCTACTCTAGAGGCTTGGGGTCTGGAGGATTCAAAGGGTTGCGGAGTCACAGAGATGGGACCTGGGAGTGCCCAGGTTGGTGACGCTCGTCGGCTTTCTGTCCACCTGCTCTCACGTGGCCAGTGGTGCAGTAGGAGTGGTTGGCCAGCCCAGGGAGCCCGGCAGGCTGGACTCCGGCCCCTGTGAGTACTGTGAGACCCTCCTCCTGTGCGTGACTGACAAGAGCACACGCTGCGACCGTAGGGGAGGCTCCCGCAGCCCCTCCTGTCTGCCTGCTCTCCCTGCACTCTCCAGGAAGACTCAGCTCCCTGCCTCCGGGACACAGGGTCTCAGGCCCACTCTGGCCCCCTGAGTGGTATTTGGCGAGCTGCTCTGCCTCCCTGGGTCTGGTGTCACGGGGACCCCATCTCTCTACCTGCCCCCTCTTTTCAGGAAGTCTGTCATCCAGCTCGACCTCGCCAACACCAAGAAAGCGATGATCGTCCCCGCGTTCGAGACGCTGCGCTACCGGCTCTCATTCCCCAAGTCGAAAGCGGAGTTGCTGTCGATGCTGGACATGGGTACCCTCTTCACGTTCAGGTGAGTGGCCCTCCCTGCCGTCCTTGAAGGTGCCTGGAGCCCTCCTCTCGCCTAGGAAACCCAGGTGCCCAAGCTGTTGGCCCGAAAGTTTGTTGCTTTCTGAGTCTATTACTATAAGGCCAAAATCGAACCACTCACCCCAAACAATCTCGGTATCTTCTCTCTCCTTCTCCCTACGCCGTGTACTTTATTTGTACGTGGATGACAGATTTTATCTGTCCAGATGGAAGGATAGGCATGTCTGGGCAAGAAGCTTAAGTTTATTTCTGTTTGTACTTTTTTTAAACTCAGTTTAGGTTCCTGCTCCCATCTCCTGGCTCTGAATTCTCTCTTTTGTGTGCTTGTCCATTCATTCATTTGGTAAGTGGACTTCATTCCTTCCATTAGCGTCGTAATGGTAGTTTCTCTTTTTCTTGTTGGTGTGAGTGGTCCCTTCTCTGAGCCCGGGGCCTGGGACGTGCGGCAGTTGTTTCAACAGCATAAAGTCATGAAGGTGACTCCAAAGTGTCACACAGCAGATGTGGCAGCTGACTTTGCCATTGCCCAAGTGACAGTTGTAAACAGAGCCCTCATTTTCCTCATTTCCCAGACGCCTAGTCCTGCAGGAACACCATGGAGCTACCCTGTCACTGTCCAGAGTGCCCCCGGAGTCTGTATAACTGCACGTGGGTTCCACACCCTGGGGACAGGCTGCGGCACTGAGTGTAGCAATCAGAGACCAGGGTGGGGGGTATGGGAGTCCTGCTGGGTCTCCTAACTGAGCAGTCTCAGGAGAAAACCGTTGCTGTGCCTGCTGATGTTAAAGCAAGGCCTCCACTTTGAACAATGTAAGAATGGCCAACCCTTTCTTTAATCTAAAAAGCATACATTTCTAGGTAATTGGAATTTTATTAAAAAGATTGTAGTCATAGTAATTTGTGTTTTCATACCTCTGTAAAGTTTCTAGAAGGTTTTCTCAAACTTTTTCTTTTGAAAATCACTCTATGAGGTAGGTTATTCATTCAACAATTCAGAGGTTATCATTCTTCGTGTCATATACAGAGGAGGAAACAGGAGTGGTGGAGGCAGGACTCAGTCTCCAGCCTTCTCTTCTGTGTAGGACTCTGGAAAGTGACCTGGGAGAGTTAATACCCCCACGACCCAAGCCCTCCTTCTTGTCAGACAGAAATGACAACTGCCATCTATTGAGTGTTTTAATATATGCCAGGTTCTGTGATTACCTATTTAATCCTCACAATAAATCTGTGAGGCAGACACTATAAATATTATCCCCATTTCACAGATAATGAAACTGAGGCTCTGAGAGCTTAAATAACTTGCCCAATGACACACAGCCAGTGAACGACAGAGCCTGGATTCAGCCCGGGTCTAAGGAATGACAGAGCCTGTGTTCTTAACCAAAATACCACCAGGCCACTGATCAAGCCCTGAATTTTCTTACTGTTCTTTGAAGATGTAGGGTAAACACTTGCTTCTGGAAATTGAGACCCTGAGACCAAACCTTAGTCTGAGTCTGCCACAGATGCCACAGTCTGATGGCTGAACACCTGGCGCATTTCCAAGGCATCCTTCCTTCCATCTCCATCCCCAGGTGAGTTGAGAACTCATTTCAAGGTCACGTCCCTGGGCACGAGAGCTGGGGTTTGACCTGCTGTGTCTGTGATTGCTGCTCTGTCCAATGGCTGGCAAGCCACCATGCCAAGGGCTAAATTACGAACCTTCCCTCCAAGAAATCGCTTTTGTCACCTGCTTGCCAAGCAATGTACTCTTAAGCCTCGGAGCAGCTAAAACCTCTCTACCACACCTGGAATGAGAAAGCATCTACACCCCTACCAGTCCTCCAGGGCAGTGGTTCCAGAGTGTTCTCCCTGGACCCAGGAGATTGATATCCCTTCAGAACTTATTAGAAATGCAAAGTCAGCCTGCCTAGACCTCCCGCAGTAGAAACTCAAGTTGTCATGATTTTGGTGTACGTTCAAGTGTGAGAACAAGGCAAAGTGCCCCAAATCTCTTCTCTTCAGCAGCATCCTGTGTGGTATACCCAGGAAACCTCTCTCATCATCTCATCACTGTTTTCTGGATGCCACCTATCGTTGCTGGTCTCAGAGACCAACCCCTGAAGTTTAGCGTCTACCGGACTGACAGTGGGTTCCTCGGGTCATTTCTAGTCTGTGGCTTGTTTTCACGGCAGGTTAATTGTAACTTCACCGCATCTTGTGCTGCCCGGCTGTTCGGCACACTGTCGGTGTCCAGGCTGAGCGGATGGAAGCTGCCCTCCCCCCAGCCAGATCGACAGAACTGATGTAGCTGTCCCAGCCCTTCCCTGTTCTTTTTCCTTCTGTGCCGTATTATAATCGGCCAAGAGTTTAGCTTCTAAAGGTGCCTCCGTAGACAAATAAAATGACTATCGATATCACTGAGACCAAGACCACCAGGAATTGACATCATATCAGGGAGGCAAACAAAGAGAAATAATAAAGAGAATGTCCTCATTTTTGGAGGAATTATTGCTATATGTACCAGTGACTGCTCTGAGTACTTTATGTGGGTTAATTCACTTAATCACCATAAATCTGTGAGGCAGGTATTATTATTGAAAAAAGATACAGAGTGGTTAACCTGTCTGCGCCTGTTGAATGGCAGAATTCAAACCCAGGCAGGCTGCCTCCGGAACCACGGTTTTTAACCACTTTGTTGAACTGCCCGTTAGGAAACTAGCATTTATTGAATTCCTTTAGCGCGCCAGTACCCTGCAAGCACTTTACGTTTTCTCATATAAGCTCCTTGGCAATGCGACCAGGTAGGTATTATTTTCCCCAGTCCACACAAGAGGAAATTAAAGCCTAGTTAAAGTACTTTGTTCTGCAAAGTTCTTCAGCTCCTAAGTGGCGGGGGTGGGATTTGAACCCTGGCCCAGTGGCTCGACGGTGCCGTGCTTTGAACCTGATGTGGGTTCACAGCCGTCAGCCGTGCTGCGCCAGTTCTGTCAAAGGCATCAGGTGTCAGGACTGCCTGTTCAGCAAGTTCACAAATGGAAAATCAAGTGCTTCTTGGCCTAATTTTTGGATTAGACCCGAGATTGACGTCTCTCACAATATCGCTCTTTTTCACACTCCATTAAAGTCATATTGATCGACCTTTCGTTTTTCTTCCATTTAAGTGACTTTGGTTTGGGTGGAAGGTGCCGCATGATGGAGCTGAGATTCAAGTCCCTGACTTGCCCCAGCCTGGCCGTGTCACCCAGCAACACAGCTTGACGAAAGGCCACGTGTTGGCCGGTGCCCGTTCAACCACACTGGGCAGTCCCTGAGGGTCCGGGGATGTCCAGTCTCTGTGGTGAGAGCAGAAGAAGGAAGCAGCTGCATCCCGTGCCAGAGCTGCTCCACGGGCCACATGGAACACTTGCTGTCACTTAGAGCCCCCGTTGCTTTAGAGAGCCCTCCCCAAGGATGAGACGGAACCCAGGACTTCCACAAACTCTCTCCCTATAGCTGAGCTATTGGGTCCCCACTGTTCCTGTCTTGCTTTCATTTCATGAAGCTTTTCTTTCCAGCTCTGGATACTGTTAATACTCTCCCTGACCCTTTCTCTTGGGCCCTGTCTGGTCCTTCACGAGACACCCTGCTTCCTGCCACCTCTCCATGGTTTCTAGAGACATATTCCTGTCCCACCCACGGGCCTCTGTCGTAGGTCCTGCTCACGTTGCCGGATTACTCATTCATTCATTTATTCAATTTAGTGTATAATCATTGAGTACTTGTTCTGTAGGCCAGAGAGTATGGGGACGGTGACCCATGAGAGAGGTGACCCAGCAAATGGTTACGGACCCTGGCCCTCGAGCCAGGCTGCCTCCGTTTGCATCCCAGCTCCACTACGTGCTATTTGACATTGGATAAGTTATAATAATTTAAAGCAATACCAATCTACATAACATTTAAAATAGTCCCAGTACATAGGAAGTGGTTAATAAATACTAGCTGTTTCTTATTGTGGTTATATGGTTGTATTCATTTTCTGTTGCCGTGTAACAAATTACCACAAACAGAGCTTAAACAATACAAATGTATGATCTCACAGCCTCTGCGGGCCAGAGGTCCAGGCAGGGAACGGCCGACTGACTGCTCGGGTCTCACTGGGCGGAAATCAAGGAGTCTGCAAAGCTGCCGTTCTCCGCTAGAGTACGTGGTCCTCCTCCCAGCTCGCTGGTGGGTGGCAGAATTCCTTTCCTAGCAGCTGTGGGCCTGAGGTCCCCATTCTCCTGCTGGCTTTTGGCTGGGGCCACTCTCTGCTCCTAGAGTCGAGTTCCGTGCCATGTGGCCCCACAGGCAGCTCCAACGTGGCTCTTTGCTTTCTCCCAGCTCTGAAGGGTCACGTGGTTAGGTCAGGCCCACCACAGTCATCTCTTTTTTAATTAACCCAAGGTCAACTGATTAGTCACCTTAATTATGTCTACAAAAATCTCTTTTTCCATGTAATATAACATAATCCCAGGAGTGATACCAAACTCACAGGTTCTGCCCCAAGGGGCATTCTACAGGGCGAGGGTTATGAAGGGCCATCTTAAACGTCTGCCTGCCTCGGTGGTACCTAGCAGGAATAACCGTACTGCAGGCCAACCCGCAATTGTGTCCTTACAGGTGACACGGAGCACCCCAGGAGTTCCCTTACGCTTTCATGGTGAGAATCTCCTCGTTAGCGAAGGGTGTAAATAACCAACTGGATTAGTTTCCTGGGGCTGCTGCAACAAGGCACTACAGACTGGGTGGCTTAACATAACAGGATCTTATTCACTCACAGTTCTGGAGGCCAGAAGTCCAAAATCAAGGTGTTGGCAGGTCCATGCTTCCTCCAAAGGCTCTAGGGAAAAAATTTTCCTTGCCCTTGTCTGCCCTCTTTCTGGTGGTTGCCGGCAGTCCTTGGTTTCTTTGGCTTATTGATGCATCATTCCAATCTCTGCCTATGGCTGTACATCGTATTTTTACTATGTGTCTCTGTGTCTAATTTTTCCTCTTATGAGGACACTAGTCATTAGATTAGTGCCCACCATAACCTGCTATGATGTCATCTTAACTTGATTACCCTGTTTCCAAATAGGTCACTTTCACAGGTACTGGGCGTTAGGACTTGAACGTTGCTTTTGAGCGGGGGACACAGTTCAGCCCACACCAAGGACTACATCAGCACGTAGCTCTTCTTCCAAATCAGCGTTTTGAAAGCTCAGCTTCCTTCCCTTTACCCAGTGGCTTTTCTCCCTGTGCCCCAGGTACCACGTCTGGACGAAAGGTCATGCACCCACAAACTTCGCCAAGTGGCGGACTGCCACCACGCCTTACCGGGTCGAATGGGAGGCTGATTTCGAGCCATATGTCGTTGTGAGACGTGACTGCCCTGAGTATGACCGGAGGTTTGTGGGCTTTGGCTGGAACAAGGTGGCTCATATCATGGAACTGGATGCGCAGGTGAGAAGAACAGAACATTCACCTGGCTGCTGGATGGGGAAAGGAGAGGCCTAGATCGTAGATCTGACAAGAAAGTAGAGTGTGTTTCAGTAAAACTTTATTTGCAGAAACACGCAGCAGGTCAGACGAGCCGTAGTTTGTTGATTCCTGTGCTAAACAAATGCAAAGCTGCTCTGGCTAAGTTAGGAGAAAGATGCCTGGGTCCCCCAGCCCCACTCTTACTTCTTCGCATGCCCTTCTCCAAGGCACCTCTCCTGGAGCACAGTGTAGACATTTTTCCACAAGAGAAACTCCAATTCAAGCTAAGCTGAGGTTGGCCATTCGAAAGAATCACCAGAACTTTCCAACAGATCCAGTATGCTTGAGAGCAGTCTCCGGTGATGGTCGAGGACCACGGATGGAGACCGAGGTTGGAGGGCACTGTTCGTATTTAACAGCAGAAGGACTGGCTGTCGTTATCCACGTTTTCAGTAATACTTGGAGCGAGCGCAGTGCTGCTCATGCACGGCAAGGTCCAGCCTGCCTCAGCTCCTGCTCGAAAGAGAAGAAATGTAATATTCATGTGTCCAGCACTCTCGGGAGGTGAACTGGCTCAGAGAAAGTTAATTTTTCTAGCAGAGACCTGGGCTTTGTTTGTTTTAGACAGTTTTGACAGAACTCTTGAAAATGTATTGCGTATTCTTCTTTCTTTGCCAATAGCCCATGCGAAACATAATTTTACCCTTCCCAGTGACTTAAGAAAATGATGAGGGCCTACCCGACAGGTGGGACAGCCACACCCGTGGGGACTAGTGGGGTTGGAGGGACTCTTTGGGCCTACGTGAAATGTCCCAGACAGGTCAGCTCTGGGAGGTCTTGCATTTCCTTTTCATGCTTTTCCTCACTCATTCCTCACTAGCAATTGTTCTTTCTTGTTCCTGTCTGTATATTTCTCCCTGTAATAGCTACCTTTGCCCATCCTGATTTTCCCTTTCTGAATTTATTCTCATCCGCTCTGGCCTGGGAAACTAGATGACCCAAGCTTATGAGACAATTTGTCCAAAATCAGAGTAAATACATGCGAGTGCAAGGGTGCCGGGTTCTCCTCTGAGCTACATGACCTATGTTCGTGTCACCTGTTTCCACTATTCAGAGGCCTTTTATCTTTGGCGTATTTAGCTGTGGTCTGCCACGTTGAGGACACTGTCTGATGGTGTCACTTGTAATAGTACATATCGGGGAGAGTTTTATCCTTGGTGAGCTTCAGTCCAATGAAACATTTGTTTTTATTTTCATCGTATCTTTCATTCTTTTTTTTTGTCCCTTCTTTTGCACTAATCTGTTGAGGCTGTCAGATCTCGTCAAGTCCCGTGAAGGATCACATGCACAGATGTTAGTGGATTGAGCTAGAGAATACCCCATGGCTGGCTTCGTCCTAGAGCATCCACGTGGGTGTGGGCTCACATTTATCAAGACCTTTTATGGGCCATGAGCTCTACTCAGCACTGTCCATATGTCATTGGTTTCATCCTCATGGTCATTCGTCAAGGTGGATAGTATTACTTTCACTTTATACATGAGAAAATAAAGGCTCAGAGAAGCTAAGTATGTTGTCCAAGGTCATGGAAACAGTCCTGACCTGTCCTGCTCCAGAGCTGTTGTGCTGGCCTGTGTGTCCGTGTCTTTCTTTGGGTCATGCATTCACTTGGTCATTCGGTCTTTCCCTTGGGCCTTCCCCATGTGTTTACGGGGGGTTCTTGCAAGTTCTCACGCTGCTCTTGCCTCCTTCCAGGAATACGAGTTCACTGTGCTGCCCAACGCCTACATGATCCACATGCCTCACGCCCCCAGCTTCGACATCACCAAGTTCCGTTCCAACAAGCAATACCGCATCTGTCTCAAAACCCTGAAGGAGGAGTTTCAGCAGGACATGTCCCGCCGCTATGGCTTTGCTGCCCTGAAATATCTCACGGCCGAGAACAACAGCTAGCACCAAGGAGCCCACCACTAGGACATGCTACAGGGGAAGAGCCACTCGCTGTTTGGGGCCCAGCCTTCAGATTCAAAATCGAGCAATGCTTTTTGGTTTGTTTTCATTTGTCTCTTTGGCCCAACAAAGCTGCCCTCACAACGGAGACCTTGGACAAGGATCCAGCCAGCCTCTCTCTGCCCCTACCCAGCATCCCCAAAGGGTGGAGAAACAGCCCACCTCTACAAGTCTCTTCAAGAAAGGGGACATGGCGGGATGAGAGGAAGTACAGGCATTATCCCCTTACCACAAAGCCACAAAACCAAGGCAGGGCTTTCGGGTGTTCCTGTTGCTTTTTAATAATTATGTTTCTCATTGCCAGGAAGGAAGGAGAGTCAGGGTGTTGGAAGTTAGTCATCCCAGGAAATAAAAGCAAAACTGTCTCTTCCTTTAGAGGCATCTTTCTCTCTTGCCCTGCAGTCTAGCTGGGTATCCAAAGGTGGAGGGCAAATCAGTGATCTGAACCAACCAGTTGGAAAAATCCAACAGAGACACTGTATCTGGTGGGTCCTAGAGGTGGGGTTGATTGGTTCCTTATCCCCAAAGTCACTCTTGTTTTGATTTGTTCTTTGGGGATTTTGTTTGTTTGTTCGTTCATTCGTTTTGGGTCTGGCCATCCAGAATAGAAAATCCGATCCTTTAAGGCTCTGATGGAAAATGAGCTGCCTCAACCAATGTCCCTCTGTCAGCAGTGACCCAGCAAGGAGGACGAGAGTCTTCAGCCGGTATCTGAATGTGGGCGGCTCCCTTCAGGACCGTCACCGAGGCTCCCACGACTGAATTCCTTACTGCCCCAGATCCAGGGCTGCCATGGGGACTGCTGAATAAGAGGGCCAGCTGCCCCACACAGGTCGCGTTTTCTATGGGCGGTGATCGAGTCACAGGAAAGGGCTTCGAAGGAACTATTTCAGGGCACACGAAAGGTACGAACCTCTCAGGCCTTCAGAAGAACTTTAACCATTCATGCGAGCCCAGTTCTGAAAATTCACACCTCCGTTTGAAAACCCACAGCAAGAACGTGCTAGGTCCTCTGTGTTCTTGCCTGCTTCACTGTGGATGGAAGAAGTGACAACCTCAGTCTCCCTTTGGGACCTGTCCAAGGGTAGGCAAGCACCTTCACCTTGACGCAGATCGAGGAGACACTGGACTTTTTACCCATTTTCTTTACTCTTCAATATTAATGTTGTGTTTACATTGATGAGAACCAGAGTTAATGCCCTACTCTCTGCTGGGCTGTTTGTGTTGAGTTGCAATGTGACCAACGAAAGCTGCATTCAATAAATGAAAGTACAGACTGTTTCTTCCCCATTCCCCTCCCACTCTTGCAAGAAGCTACCGCGACACACTTCGATTCTGAGCAAAATCAAAATTGATAAACAGCAACTTCACACTTTCTGTTCTCCCATTTTATTTTTCTCATCATTTGAACTTTCACCTTGTCTTTCCTCTCCTTGGCAAAGTTAAATTTTACTTTATCCTCCAACCCTCAAACCATTTTCAAATTTTCCATTTAGCTTCTGTCTCAACACTGCAGCCAGATGTTTTATTATGCCAGATGTGAGCTAGCCGGGTAAATCGTGGTAATCAACGGTAGAGTGAACGTTCCATCCTTTGGCCTGGTAGTCACATGGAACCTCACAGCAGTCTGACTTGTGAGATCACTCTATGTGTTACCTGCACAAGTGGATGTTTCACTGAGATTTATACAAAAATTAGGAAAATCACAATTAGGACCAATCCTTGCATAGATACATATAAGTATATTTATGTATGCAGGTCTAGCTATATGTAGAAAGAGAGCATATACATATATAGCATGTATACAGCATGATTACAAAAGTAAGATATATAAAAAGTGAAACATTACAAAAAAAGTGTTCAAAGTACATGTTCAAGTCCAATTTCTTCAGTGGTGTGCTGGGCCAGCTCCTACATGCTCACAAGAATTTATTATTCTCATCTCTTTCCAACTCCCATGTTCAGCGATCCAAACCCTTCTCGTTCCCAAGAGCCGGTTGTTAAATATTTACCAGCAGCACACCACTGCCTTTTCCTCTCCCTTACGTACACACGTACACACAGATTTCTCTTCCTTCCCTGGAGAGGACCACTGTTGGTAGGTGTACTCATGTTCATACAGTTTCTGAATTAATCATTACCAGCTCCTTGAGCCAAGGGAAAATCTGCTGGTGGCACTGGTTCCTTGATGCTGAAAAATCAATTTTTAATCCCCTAAAGCCTTTTATTTTTAAAAATTTTTCTTGGCCCCTGAATCATGCTCAGCCACCTTGCTTTCACTTGTATTTTTATGGGCATAGCCGGTGACCATATAATTTGTCGTCCAAACTGGGTCACTTCTGAGAATGAGAAAAGGTGCTAATTACTTTGAGACAATAGGTATAAACTGGGAGATGATGTAGCTTCATGTACACCGAATCTATTAAAGCCAGAAACTGACACTCCACACCAACAGGAGAAAATCCTATTTCCCCTAAGTCAGGTGCCTGACACTCTAAGCTGATCTCACTTAAAGCTGGAGCTCAGACGTTGGCTGAGGCCCAAGTTCAACACAGAAGCTGCCAACCCAGTGGAGGCTGAGGTCTGCAGAGACAATGGCATGAATCCCCAGAACTTACACTGGGAACAGCAGTTCATTGCCAGCCCCACTCGTGTGTCGGGAGCTGCAGCCATTGGGTAGAGGTAATTGCAAAGGATGTTGATTCCTTTGTATCAATTCCCTGGCGTAAAGCAAGCTTTTAAATGGGTCACACGAATGTTTTTATGCTTAAAAAGGCTAATACTCTCTTGGCTTTCAGTTGAGAGGAAGGACAGGGTTGTCTCATTTGGCCCCCTTAACATTCAGCGTACAGGGGAACTGAGATTTATTGAGTAACCACTAAGTGCAACAGCCTCTTGCACACGCCCCCTCAGTGAACCCTTGGGGCAAAACTGCTAAGTGGATATTACTGTTCATAGATGAGAAAACGGAGTCCTGTGAAATCAACTAACTTCCCCAAATTCACATCCTACTACCCAAAGCCACATAACCTGTAATGCTACCCCCTTCCCCAGTAAGGAGGAAACAGATACTAAACCCTGGCAGCCACGAGCATTTGGACCTACACAGGAAGATTATTGCTTTTCTATTCTTTCTTCCACATCCACCCAGTAACACAATCCAGACAGCAATCTCTCCTAGAGACTCCAGATCTTGCTATGCCCGTGGACTCGTTGAAATTGATTTGAAATGGACCTGGGCAATTTATAATCATGTTCAGACAGCTGGGTTCAACTCTAGGGGGTAGTAATTGATTTCCCGAATGCTTCTCCTGGGTTGTTTCTTAGATTACTTGTAACAGGTGAGAGTCACTGAAGTTGAAGCTCCCCGCTGGACCCTGACTCGGCACAGTGCTTCAGCGTGATCTCTCCAACTGTGTTGAGCTGATTTACAGAGGACGTATTTGCTGAGTTGACTAATAGCTCTTTGTGCCCCATCATGAAAGGACAGACCCTACTTTAATTCTGTTCCTTTCAAAGACTCTACTATCTTTGAGTTAAGGCTTCATTTGTGGTCACCAGGCCTTCAGGGAGCTCTGTGTTAGTGAAAGAAGCGTGATTAAAATCACCTCTCAGACACAGCTCCTGCACAGTCTTGGTAAAGATATTATAATGAGAGCTATTCTATGGTAGTTGGCACTGATGGATCCTCACAGCCATGTTCTAAGAAAGGTATTATTATTTCTATTATTTATTTAGCTAATAGAATAGCTCCCGGAGAAATTATGTGACTTGCCCAAGATCACACAGGTGGTTAATGGAGGTGCTGGCGTCTGAATCAAAATCTGGCTGGCTCCAAAACTCGTGTTGTTCCACTAATACGTGCTAATGCCTTCCCAGCTGAGACTGAAATCCGCGTGGCCCCTGGGCCTACGCAGTCGTATCTTCATGTAGTTCATATGCTTTGTTTTCCTCATCCTTTTTTAATCCTAAGGGTTTGTTTTCCAGCTTAATGCTGTTAGAATTTGTGAAATATCAGTTATCTACCATATGAGGTTTCAGGCCCATAGAATCTGATGTCAGGGATACCATCATTTTTGTTTTTATTCATTGAACAAAACTGTTCTTAGTAAGTGTCCTTTATTTTCAAGAGATGACTGATGATATCTGAAAGGATCTAATGGGGGCACCACAAAAACATGGGGTTTCTGACTGAATAGTTAATGGATTTGTTCATCGGTTCATTCCAACACATTCAGATAGTATTGAGAGATGTCTTCTGGAATGAAGGAGTGCCGGTCAGTTCTGGGAAAGTGTTTCCCAAAGTGTGGCTCCAAGACCATCTGGCCAGTGAGGCCAGGATGATGTCATGAAATGATTGACAGGGCGCACTCAGAGCAACTTTCAGCAGATTTGTGGCCAAGTCATGCCGCAGTGGTGCAGAAGGAAGATAGTAAGAGCTGCGCTGATGTCAGTAATCTCACTGCTCTCTTTGCCATAGCTTTCTGAATTCCACAAATAATTGATTGAGCATCTACCCTGCGATGGGCGCTCTGAATACAGCAGTGAACCAGGTACAGTCTTCTTTCATGTAATGGACAGTTAACTGGGCAGCAGAAAAGTAGACAATGCTAAGACTGGCTTCACCTTATTGCATTCACAGAAACAATTTTAGTTTAGTTTTATTTTCATTTATTTCTGCCACTCTTCTGTAAGTTTCCAGACTTCCATAAAACTTTCAAGGATAATAATACAAAGAACTTTTGAATACCTTTCATTTAGAGTGACCAGTTGTTAACATTTTGCCACATGTGCTTCATAGCTCTCTGTCTATAATATTTTTTTCTGAAATGTTTGAGAGTGAATTGTAGACACCATGGCCCTTTAAATCTCAATACTTTAGCATAGGTTTCTTTAAAACATGATGTTCTCTTATATAACCACAACACAAGGATCAATTCAAAACTTAAACCTTCATACAATACTGTCATCTAACATGCAGTTTCCATTCAGAGTTTGCCAGTTGTCCTAATAATGTCTTTATAGCAGTAGCCCTCACCCCCAACCCAGCCCACCCCACCCCCATACCGGGATCCAATCCAAGATCACATATTGCATTTAGTTGTCTCTAGTCTCCACACAGGAACAATTCCTTGGTCCTTCTTTGTAATTCATAACAATGTTTTTGAAGAGTAACAGACTAGTTACTTTGTGTTATTTTAGTATTTTGAATGAGAAATGGGCCTATATACACAGGGCAATGCATATGTATGTATGCATATGTTAACTTTTTGAGTTCTTTAATATTATATGTCACGTTATGTGACAAAATTTTATGGCAGATGGTGTCAGAGAAGCCAGATTCAGAAGGTTCAGCATCAAGATGTATGCATTGCTGAGACAGTCCAACAGGCAGGACCCTAAGGCAAGGTGTACTATCATGACATGTCACTGACTCGGGTGCCTGTCACCAGTGAAAGTAATTATTTTCTACCCGCTTAAAAGTTTCATAGCAACTATTAGTATACAGTCATTAATCGAACTGCTT